GGGGGGGGGGGGGGTGATACCGGTTACTATATATTGTATTTATTGGATTCTCGTTTGTGCCTCATAGCCGAAATTTCTTCTACTGCATAAAAAACAATTATATGTCGATTTTTAATTGAATTGTTCTGAGTGCCTACCCATCATAATTGTCAATTTAATATCTGTTCCCATTATAACACAAAAATAAAAAAATATCATCTTATAATAAATTTATTAGGTCAAACCGAAATAATACAAAAGGATCGAGTTGGTGAAAAATAAAAGTGCCGAATAACGTTTATCATGACAATGTATATGACCTTAGAACGTCGGCTTGACAGCAAATCTCTTTGATGTCCTAGAGTTTCGGGCACTACGACGCCAGATCAAAGTCGGCACCTGTTAGCCGACTCGTTTGATGGTATTAACCCCGCCTATAGAATCTTCTCAGATTCAGACCGATTGATTTTGGTACGAGGGTTGTTGATTGTCATTCTCAATGAAAAAGTCTTAATATTTGAAAAGTGAATAATCAAAATCACAAAATTAAAAAAAAATATGTTGATGTATACGGTTTTATGTATGAATGATGATATTAAGAAACGAAAATTCGATTTTGTTTACCACTGTAAATCCCGTCAACCCCTTATACAGAAATATGGACCATTCTTCTACGATTCTAACGGGATCACGTAAAGTGCCTTATCATCATTGTTAATTACGCTAAACATAAAGCTAAAATTTTCAGGAATTCGTGAAAAAAGTACAGATTAAGATGACTAGCAAGCCTTATAATCCGTTTGCTACTTATATAGATTTAACCAAGTTTGTCACGAGAAGAACCGATTCCAGAGATGTCTCCAATTCTCCAAGAGATGTTCCAGAGTTCCAGGTTCCAAATACTCAAATGATAAAGGTGACCAAATTCAACTCGGATACTGTTCAAGTTAATCCTATCTCGCCTTGTGTAAGTATCGTAATTTTGTCTTTGGATTAAATGCCGGCTTTTTGATGTTTACGGGCGGATGAAAGTGCGGGTTAGTCCTTGTTTTCTTGATTTTTTAGAATAATTCTGGTATAACAAGTTTTAGTTTTTGGCCCCACATATATCTACTTTGTTTAAAACATTTTGGTAGCCCAGTGGCAATTAACGGTATCGTATTGTTTTTTAATTCCCCTAATCTCTTAATTAGTTATTCAGATTGTTTCAATTTATTAGAAACAAAAGATTCAGAACATCACTGTCCATATTCCATTACGTGGTGAATTACCGTGATTTGTCCATTAACCGTATTTTCATGCATTGACATACCGGTATCGGGTACTTCATTACCGAACAGGAACATTTTTCAAAGGAATTAACAACATATATATGACGTTACTAGATTTGTCACCGTTTAAGGAGGATAATGAGGTTCCTGAAATTCCACTAATCGTCCAATTTGCGTTGTTACTAAAGGCTCTTCGCGATTTGTGATGTCATCAAACACTTAGCTTTAGAAATTGTTTGCAGAATTACAGGAACCACAGACGTCTGATTGAAAATTTGAATGGTTAAAACTGATGCCATGAGTGTCCGACCGATACACATACAAAATTTAGAAAACCTCTTTACAATAACTTTAAAGAATATAGGCGCTTTCTTGCGTCTCAGATATGGTATTTCATTTTAGTTTAAAGTGTTATTTGTCGATTCTAATGTTATTTTTTTGTTATTGCAGGAACCAAGTGGACTTGATGCCAGACCAATTACAGAACCTATTATCTGGGAACAATCTTTGAGATGCAGGGGAATCTCCAACTCGTCCGAAGATAGTGAGGGAAGTCCGAAATCTTACCCTACAGATTATGGTTGTGGCAGCATGGGAGCGGCAGGTGGAATAGAACACCAAAATTTTGAAGCAGCAGGCAGCAACTACAATCTGTCGGAAGTGGCTCAGTTAGTTCAGCAGATGGTTCACCAAGAAATCAGATCTTCACGATATCGAATGGGGTGTGTATTTTGTAAGAAAAATGGTGAAACTTATGAATATTATTCTACTCATGTGTTAAAAGATAATAGGGGTAAAGTTGTGTGCCCTATTTTGAGGAAATATACATGTCCTACTTGTCAAGCTACTGGAGATAGTGCTCATACACAACGTCATTGTCCGCTACTGAATGCTAAAGGGTTTGGAAAATAGAGACTACAAGAGAGTATGACTGCAAGTGTAAATGAGAGCCATTTGTGAATTTTAGTAGATGTAATAAGTTTAGATTTGGTGGGGTTGGGCCGCGATATACATAATAATGGGTTAATATTTTTGGAATACCAGTTGCCGTTTTCATGAATTATTACAGTGGTAACAATATGCTTTTGTAAGAGTTTGGTACGTTTAAGAAGATTTTTTACATTAGGTTTTTTTTAATGTCAATGTCATTTTGAATGTCATATATAGGGTCACCGATGAATTTAAAAATACATAGGCCTTGGGGTTTTGTGTAAAAGGAGGGGAGTAAGGGTAATTTACGAGGGTCGGGTTGCATGCCATTGGGGTTGGGACAACGAGAAGAAGTAGGAAGAAAATTTTTTATGTGTATTATAGGATGCATGATTAAGGATTTGAGAACATAAGAGATTTTATAAATATGAAAAAAAGATACATGCAAAGATCTAATTGATGTCATTTGGGGATTAAGGCATGATTGAAATGGAGTTTGTGTTTTATATGAAGCCTCTAGCTTCGCTGTTGGTTTATTATTTTATATTTTTAGCTTTAGTATATATATTTGATAGAGTATAATGTAGTTTTTAGTATAATTATTCTTGAATTCTTTTTCATAATTTAATTGATATTAATGAATAGTGTTTTTTAATGTATTACTGAGTCCTTGGATAGTGGTATTGAAATGGAAATTGGGATGTAGTTTCCAAAGAATGCAGTGTAGATTAAAATATTAGCCTTATTGCACACCGTATGTCGCCCATCATTGTTCGTGCAATCTAGAAGAGAGTTATAGGAGACAAAATAATATTTTTATTCGAACACATTTCATATTTGAATTATGTCACGAAATGTCATAGTAAATGAAAATGTTGTGCTTTAAGTTTTTCAATGATAATGGTATTTGCATGTATTTAAAGTTATCACCACCCCTTCCTTTAATCCTCCTCCCCACCTTTAGTTTGATAGCTGTATTTGTCATATTTGTAATAAATAGTGCTTAACTTTAGAGAAATTAGCTTTGATTATTCTGATTTAAATGTTTTAACCAATTGATTTAGTTTTTAGCTTTTTCTAGTAATTTTAGTGTTTTTAAATCTTTTCGCTTTTCCCTTCTTATTGAAGTAGTATTTTTTAGTATATTTTTTTAAGATGTAATGTTTCTAAATGCTTGATGTATATATATTTTGGACTCCTTTTATTTTCTATGTCTGGTATGATGTATATTCAAACTGGTTTGTTAAAAATACAATTTTCATATTTTAGTCATTGGACTTTTCAAAGCTGAAAATTACTAAAGTGGCCATGTAAACTTAAGATTTCTTTTTGTATCAAATGAATTTTTTAGGACTCTGTTACATACATTTCCATATTGGCCAAGATTTCCCGGTATCTTCAACAAGCGAAGTTATCTGCATGTATGTCGATTGGACAAATATTGTTCTAAAGGCAGAAAAAATTGTGGAAAAATATCAAAACTTTAGTTACAAGAGAACATAAATTTATTGCATATTTTGTCATACAATAGAAATTTTTAATTAGATGTTATAGAAGAATAAATGTTCCAAAAAAATATTCCAAAAATATCTTGTCACAAAAGTATCACCGTCGAAGTCAACTTCATGTTTTGTATAATGAGCAGGCCGTGGAATTTGGACGATGGAGAAGTTTTTTCCAAATGTTTTCTATCATCGTTCATGATATTGTTTATCTGTATTTGTTGATGTTTTATAAATAAGAAAATTAGTTTTTTTAAACTGTTAGTGATGAGGAATCTGATATCGGACGTATGTATTGTAGTTAAAGGGACAGTTTCGCTCTTTGTTTGACCAATCATACCATAGTCTAAAAAACAGGACTTTTAACTTAGTTACAATCAGCAATAGGGTGCCCAGCTTACCGTCGAAATTTGAGCCTTCAAATCCATGTGTGCACTAACCTAATGGTTAGCATTAACCTTGATATACTAGATTCAGAATTCCAGACAGTTGATAACGCATATCACTAACGAAGTATGAATATCTACAAATCGAAAATGCAACTCGTGTCATATATTTATTTTCGTAATATGGAGTTGAACAGCTAAATCCTGACCCTAAAAAGGGAAGGGGAGGGTATATCTGAAACTCGAGTGAGCAGGATAAGATAGTCTCTTGTTAATTACAGAGAGGAGGGCTGTTGAAAATATGATAGGCCCTAGTTTAATGAATAAATGTACTTGTTCAGGTAACCAAATGAAATACCATACAATTGCAAATATAATGCGCATCCCTTCTAACCCTCGAGTAAATCTAAAAAACTATCTTGTCACCAGAAATAATGCACACCCAGTTCTAACGAAAGAATCAACAGATTCACATATCGAAGACACTGTAATAGTGAATAGCCTATTCCAACTATACAATTGGTGCAAAGAAGTATAATGTCATTGAACCCCAGTTTCAAGATGTACTTAGTTGATTTAGAGTGGTTATTCACATTTTATTTCAGCGGTCTACACCTTGTCTTTACAGCCTGCTAGAGTGAGGCTGATGTCCACATATAGTAATTGGATGGTTAAACTTGTACGTGGTTGAGTCGACATATTGCGATCACTATATAGTTTGATAGTATGAGGTAGATGAAGAGCGCTTATACAAATTTCCTTTCAGTGACTCTCATCCTTTCAGTTTCGTTACAATCTGCTAGAGTGCGTTTGATGTCCAAATGTGGTAATTGGATGGACAAACTTGTACTCGGTCGAGTCAGCAAATTTTACAGTATGATTCTGACTAAAACTCCAGTCTAATGTTTCGATGGTGGAAGAAGGACCAAAGGTTGGTTCCAGTGAGAGTTTCTCCCGAATTTCATCCCGGACGTATTTCCCTATTCCTAAACATCCCGATAAACCAGTAGATCTGATTCCACCAACAGATATCCAATTTCTGAAATGCAATAAATTTCTTGGTATGTTCATTATGTAAATTCGTGAGAATGGCAGAAGTTTGTAAACATTCGACCATAATGTTTAGTCTTTCTGTTGAGGGTTGTAATCGCTAGGTATAATCATATCAAATGGCTGAATTCCTTGTTACAAGAATAGTGGCCATTGCAGTCAAGGTATAAGACGAAGTTCACGAAGATGACTATGCAAGGTGTTAATGCCGAGCATTGGATTGACTATTTCGTATAGCTGAACTTTGTTGCTCTCGAGTAAAATGCCACATTAAAAAAATATAGACTAGAAATGGAGCCTTTTAAAATGGTAGGTTTGTGCTTATATCTCTGTCGCCAATGTAAAAAGCCTAGTGGTAATCTTTATTAACCCCAATCCCCATCTCCTAACCCACCTCCTATCCCAACCCGTAAATATTGCAAGGAAGAAGCCTTACTCACCGTTCTGGGAAGGTAGTGATCTGATAATCCTTGTACTGAGTAGCTGGTCTGAGACCGGTATATTCACCGATATTCGAGTAAGAACTTAGACATGGTACGGTGGAACCAGTCGCTGAATATAACTTCGATCTTATAATACCATCCGCTTCAGGTGGTACTTGTCTACTCGGAATATCTTCTGCTGTAGGTCCAACTATTACATTGTTATAAACTGAAACAAGCAGCTTCCATAAAAATGCAGAAAAATGGGACGTAAAACTCAAATTCTTTAGATTGGCTTAAACGTCATTACAATTGTTAAGGAACCTTCTTTGAAGGCTATTGACCTGAAAGACAAAGATCATCTTCGTATTCTGGAATGATACTTTCCTGACACACAGCATGACGTTGTCTTCCCCCGCACCTTCGGGCGCAAATCCCCACAAAACAGTCGGACCCTCCAGCCAACAACAGCTGTCAAAGGAGGATGGAATAGGGGAAGATGTTTCGGACAAGTAAATACTGAGATTTATGATTTAGAAGTAAAAGTATCACATAATGAATGGAATGTAATATCATTACCTGATTTAAAGACTATAATCCCTTTGGTTTTATCAGTTGGTACGGGTAGAATACTGGAGTTTATTAGACCACTGGTGTTCTGACCATACACTAAATACTGGCCCTTTCTTGGTTTAATACTGAAAAGAATGAGAAGAAATAGAATTTGATGTACAATTTTGCTATTCCCAATTCGGCTAATGAATGCGCAACAACTTTGTTACATATTTCGATTTCTAACTTTCAAGAGTGAGATCTTTAGGTTGGTTGGTAGATGACAAGTTAACGTTCGCTTCCAGCGAATGCTGATATCGCAAACTAGATGGTTGTTGGTAGTCGTAGTAGTTGGAAGTTGGATTGGTTCAAATTGGACGATTCTGTGTTGTTGGTTTGGTTGTTGATTCTTCATGAGATCTTTAACGTATACTGTTTGTATATACTACAAGGCGAATCGTTCTCTTAGAACGACTAGAAACTTTACTGATCAGGAGATGACAATCGATTATAAAGATCTAAGTAGGAGCTAACCTGAATGTTTGACAGTTGACTAGATTATCTATCTGGTCACCATAAAGACCGGCGCAGTTTACAACTACCCGACATGTTATAGCACCATGTTGAGTATGAACGGTGGTTCTGTTATATTCTGGCGTAATTCCTGTTACTTTACAGTCAGTTTTAACCTAAAAATCCACAATTCACTTATATTTACCATTTTCAAACCCCAACCCTTGACATGCACCATATTTGGCATGGTCTTGTATGAAAAAGATATTTTTAATAACTTTAACTTCACCGCCTAAAACAAAGCTATTTGGATAAAATGAACCTCATACCTATGATAATTGTTAAAACGACTATTTAAATTTTCTTGATAAAGACTTCACTCATTGTGCCATATACGCGCTGATAACTTAGTACGTGTATTTGTTATTTCATTTCTAGTTCGTTTTCATTTCATTGTAGACAAACTAGTAACTGGATTTCTACTCTCCAGCAAGTGACACGGAAAGCGGAAACTGGGTAGAATAGGCTAAAGCGTTATTTAATCCTAACCTTGCTGTTCCTGTGTAAAGAATGTTGAACCATGCATACAGGAAACAACCAAGGATCTAAAACAGTTTCATTTGGTATCCATATACCACCCTGTACTCCTTGGTTTAGATTTGGTTCTCTTTCATAAACTTGACTAGCTGATAGTTGATACATATCACCAACAACACCCTTGTCTTCAGAACTTTTCTGGATATCTGCTAGCTTTCTTCTCTGAGAGAAAAATCGCATATAAAAATATGTTCGTGATCGTATCTGAACCGAACAATGAATAACGTTTCTCTATCTTTTCAAACTTTTTATAGTTCATAATATCTACAATGCCAATTTAACCTTAAGCGTGAAGTCGTTGGTAGGCTAGGTAAACCATATATAGGTATATGTTTGGTTTCATAAACGAGCGTTAGGGTGATATGAGACTAGAATCCCTATAAAAAGCACGGGCCATGTCGAGTCTTAATCTAATCCTTATTTTAGCCTAGATATGAACTATGATTTATGTTGATACTACTACTACTACTACTACTATACTGTTGATTCGAATAAAGTTCGCTCAGATTCCCTAACTGAAGAAGCATACCTGCTGTTCGTTCCAGGCTACCATAATAGCACCAGTTCTTTTATCAGGAACTTTCCATTTATCCAATAGAGGAAAGATTTCATCTTGGCATAGCTTAATGCAGTGAAGCTCTTTGCTATTGATAGGGGCGTCAAAACCAGTATGGAGCATGCCACTAAAAAAAAAGCACTAAGATATAAAATCCTTTTTCAGCAAAACTATTCTCTCGAATTTTGAAATGTAGTCAATGTGGTCTGACAATGTGGTGTAAAAAAAAGTTTGAGTTACCTCCATGAACTATATTGCAAAAAAAAAACACACCTCATTCAATGTGGTCTGACAGGTGTAAATATAAATTTGGGGTTATCTCCCATGGATTATACAATCAAATAAATTCCATGTCCAAATCAACTTACCTGTTTCCAGAGCTTGCTTCACTCAATATCTCAGGATTTTTCTCTACAAGTAGACATTTATATCCGTCTTGTGAAAGAATAAAGAGTGTAGCACATCCTACCACTCCACCACCAATAATCACAACATCATACTCATAATCCATTTTTCTTTGAACCTAAATTAGTTTCGCTTCACTGATAACAAATATAGTCCGGAAACGAATTATTAGCGAGATATTTGTACTGCTGTTTTAAGAACCAGAACTGGTGGTCGATTGAATTAGAGTGTTGAATTTTACCATGTTGACTAATTTGCGATATATTTTGAATTTTGTATTCCTTGATCTTGCAAAAAGATTACTTATTTTACATACCGGTACAGTTTGCACCTTGTCTATTTATCTAACGTAAAGATCAGAGTACGAAAGTCAAAGTAAAGTATCAATGGATAAAATCTCAATCAATTCTACCTCACCCTGACTCTAAAATCTTGCTTTTGAATGAACTAATTCTGAAATAGATTCTCGTTTAGGATTGAAATTGAAAGCAATGTCCTGATAATATTTATTTTTACAGTTATTTCGGATTATAAGAATGGGACTTTTAAACAAGTACGACCAAATTTTTTATTATTCCCTGTACAAACTTTTGGGTTTCTGTCCGCTCTGAAATTCAACAAATCGGATGTAAAAATTTCTTAATTGGAGCGGATACCCTCGCCCTATAATGAAATTTCTCTGGTCAAATTAGTTTGATACCAAGCTCGTCTTCTCTGGAAGGCATTTTTTCGCTAAGCGAGTGAAAAATCCAAGATGGCCGTCGTGAATGTTTGTAATCGAATTTTACCAGGAAAAAGTGAAAAATTTCAATTAAATACTGTTAATTTAGCAGATTCAGTGAAGAAACTTAAGGAAGATGTTCTAGATGCTGTAAAAACTGACCAAAGAAATATAGGTAGAGCATAGATTGATAGAATATCGTAGAAAAATTAAAAAATAAAACAAAGAGAACTTTCTTTATTATGTTGCGAAAAAGTTGAGTCATTGATTCAAAGACGGAATATTTTTGATCAATTGTTTATTAATGTGGGGCCTATATCATAATTGGTAGAAATATTTTGTTATTTTTATTATTGAGTTAGTAGAATAATGCTGTTGTTGTGAATCGTTCGCGGCCAAATGATATTAAGGCCGATGCATTTACTATGATGAGCACAGTCATAGACTAAGATTTGACATTTATGACAGATTCATATCAACTGGCTCTAGATACACCTTAAGTATTTCGCAGCTGTCTGGCTTATGAAGCTTTATTGAACAATCCTGCCAGTAGACTATAATAATTTTAGACTATCTAAGATCTATGTAACATTTTTCAGAGTTGGTGTACTGTGGTCAGAAATTAAAAGATGATGATAAAATTGAACAATATGGAATCAAATCGGGTTCTACAATTTATGCCCTATCAAAACCTAACTTTCAAGAATCTGGTATGTTTCAGTTAAAAATCAAATTTTATGTCACATGTGCTTTCTCATTATTACTCATAGTTATGATAATAGTTGCTAAAACTTTATTTTGTTTACCAGCATAATAGACCTTGTAGTCTTAGTTATATTGCATGAATTAAGATATGTGGGATTGCAAATGCCACTATCACAAGTGTATTTATAAGTAGGTTTAGCAACTTATTATAGTGGAAATTGGACAAATAATTGTAAGACCAGGAAACTACTTGAATTTTAGAGCACTTAGAGAATTAGAATCTTTAACATGTGCCAATTAAGCTAAATAACTACTGTCTTTTGAAATGATTTTTATTTATTTTCACAGAAGTGATAAATCAGTTACCAGAAAAAGAGATTATTGTCACTATAAATTCAGCCATCAGGAAACCAGCATATCATCAAATTGTAAGTTTACAGAGGCCTTTTGATTACGGATTACATTTTGTAGTTGTTATCTTTATGATGTTTTTTGTAACAAACTATAACATATAGGAAGACAGGCTGTTGTAACAAACCATAACATATAGGAAGACAGGCTGTTTTAACAAACTATAACATATAGGAAGACAGGCTGTTGTAACAAACTATAACATATAGGAAGACAGGCTGTTGTAACAAACTATAACATATAGGAAGACAGGCTGTTGTAACAAACTATAACATATAGGAAGACAGGCTGTTGTAACAAACTATAACTTATAGGAACACAGGCTGAAATAGGTCATTTGTCTGAAGATTGCACATTGTGAAATTTTGAGTAACAACATTACAGTTTCTGTTTTAATATTTGAGGTGTAAATTTTATGATGTTTTCTGTCAAAATTCTGAACCTGTCAAATTGTAAATTTTTAATTCTTAATTTTATGTTGAACATTATTTATACTTTCAGGTTCAAAGAATTTTAAATGATCCTAAAAAGATGAATGAATTAATCTCCAATAATCCTGGATTAGTCTCAGATCCAGCTGTAATATGTAAGTATATTAGTATCAGTATTTAAAGGCAAATTTCATATAAATCAGTTAGAATATTGACTTCTATACCATGATTATGGTAGAAGAGAGGTTATGAGTCAGAAAGCTGGGAAAGATATAAGTCTTGAAGTTAATGAAATAATTTATATGTTTCAGCTATGTTGGTGGATGTTGGTTTATTAGTCAGTTTAATTCAACCCAGTAATCTATCAAAGTAAGTCAATTCCTTTTGTTTTCTTACCAAGTTTCTCACTATAAGGTTTGTAAGTCTGAGACTCTTTGTATAATATTTTTGTCTGTTTTGTAGATATGTGATATCTTTACAGCTATAAGTATGAATCTAATTTTTAACCTGTTAAAGGGACAGGTTTGCCATCTGTTTAACCAACCGTACCTTAGTCTCAGAAACATGAAAGTTTTTAGCTAATCTTATCAGTAATATTAATAATCAATAATATCCGCTCACTGTCGAAATTTGAGTCTTCAAATCCGTGTGTGTTCAGAATTATCCTCGTTTGAAAGTTACAATGATGAGTCATATTTTCTTGAGATTCTGCCATATAAAGATAAGACATACATAGAAATTGAGGTGTTTTTGGAGGAATTATGTGATTTTTGTACATCTCTAGTACTTTTCACAAATTTTTGAAAATTTTAAAGTGCTGTGTAAGAACATAATTAGCTTGAGTTTCTATAAAATAGAATTATTAGACAACTTTTTGATTTCTTGTCTTTGCTGTTATAGATTATTGTCAAGACATCCTGTGTTTGGTCCAGTCGCTATGTCCATAGCTACCACTGTTAATGAAGAGGCTGGGAAAGAAGGAGCTACTGCCTCATCGGCAGGTACATTGGCCTAATATATCTATTTTACTACAAACTCTTCTCTTTGCGGTGCTGAAATGTCTGGCTTACAAGTTTAAGTTCAATTATTCTATGTATATTTTCATACTCCCCCTTTTAAAGATGTAATTTTTACATGTAGCATTGATGAGCATCTCATCAATCTACAGTTGATAATGATTATGGTATAAGAGGATGAAAACATTTTCTTACCTTGAGAATTAAAACAAACACCACCTATTCGCTCTGCAAATGTCAATCCAACTCACTTCTGACAGCTAATACACAGCCTATGGTGTTTGTTTAGAAGTATTTACTATTTGTTGTAAGAATCTCTGCTAAAAGAATTAGTATATTTTCAGGAACTTACTCTATAGATCAGATGTCAGATGAAGAGGATGAAGCAGGAGTTGGAATGAGATCTCAGGTTCGATTCTTTCTATATTTAAATGATTTAAAGATGGGTTCCCTTATTTTCATTTATGAAAATGAAAATGCTCAAACTTATATCGAATAGAAAGTAGATGTGTTCTAATGACTTGGAAAAATACCAGTTTGTCTCATAATTAATTCATAATTAGCTAAATTAGAAGAGAAATACCAGCAGAATTCCAATGAGTGGCAGATTAAGAAAGATCAAAAAGTCTTTTTGTTCATCCAGACTGTACATACATGGACATTTATTATTGGTTAAAACTCTTAATTATATACATCTTTAATAATCCAAGGAAACCTCAAAATTTGGAAATGGGGGGAAAAGCTTGCAGACATTCGAAAAGTACTAAATTGTTGTGGGCTTAAAACATAAGGTTGCTTAAAAATGTCTTGATAGTCGGAGAAGTAAATCGACAGCCCTAACCCAATAATTTCATGAAATATTAAGATGACTTGTGGAGACATTTTTTATGATAGTTATTTTGTTTTGTTGATTCAGAATCGACCTGGTATCACAGCCTCCCAACTGGCAGCAGCTATAATGCAAGCTCAAGGCTCAGAGGTAACATAATATGTCTTTAATTGTCATTGATACATGTTTTGTTTTCTTGTCTGGAAGGGATGCATATTATTACAGTGACAGCTAGTGTTTTAGATTTACTTGAGGGGTATAAGGAATGCACATTATATTTGCCTGTGCACTATTTTTGCAAATATGGTATTCCTGGCAATTTGATATTACTTTCCAATCATGGTCGTTACAAGCTTTAAAACAATTCTGTTAAATCTTGGTGAAATTGTGTTTCAACAGCCCTTGAATTTCATGAAATGCAAATCAACTGCACCACTGAACACAATACTCCTTGTTACTCAATATGTGCACAAATTTAAGGTTTGCAGGCATCTTAAGAGAGGTCAAAACATCAGTAAAGATACAGTCCATAATAGATCAGCTATCTGTGAAACTTGTTCTGATTTGTTCATATTTGTAATACTGTTTATGTATAATCATATGTAATCTATAATATTTGTATTTTAGTCTAGTGCTGCAACATCTGGTACGAGTGGAGGAAGTAGTCAATCTAGTTCTTCTATAACAGAACAATTCTTTCAACAAGCTATGTTATCAGCTCAGCAAGCTTCTGTCTCGACAGTAAGTTCTTTTCTATATTGGCTATTGAAAGTGATGGCCTGGATTCAAAGATAATACTTCCTTCACACTTTGAAAAGAAAGTTTTCAAGTCATTTGAAAGAATGAAAACTGTAGGCCTTTTGTACGGAAGATTCTTCATGTTAAAGATCGATTAAAAGTTTACAACAGGACACTGACTGCCTTCAATAGACTGTTAAGGTGTAGAAAATGAGAATGTGAAATTGTACACTGTTGTGGATAAGGTGTTGATACAGTTTTCCCTTAAAGTCATTTAAATCTGTTAATAAAAGTCTACAAACTTGAATCACTTCTGTCAGTTTATGTTTATAAGGGAGATAATACAAGGAAGAAAATTTAAAGCGATTATGAGATCAAATTCGTTTTATTTGTAGGAAGCTGTACAACAAATGAGAGATATGGGTATAACAGATGAAACTAGAGCTAGAAGAGCTTTGGTACAAACTGGTGGTGATGTTAATGCTGCTGTGGAACTTATATTTGATGAGGGACTTTTGTAGACTGATGCTTATGATCATACTGGAGTGTATATAGATCAGCAGTGGTCATCAAGACTTAAATTTATCTTTGTTTGATTGATGTCACAATTCATAGTTTTATCATTTTCTTGGCATCATTGACCTGATATCACAGCCTCTCAGCTAGCAGCAGCTATAATGCAATGTGTAATGGTTTGAGGGGCTTTAATGAGTTGACTGTGCTTGTGTTAGTGTTTGTGGACAGGAGTGTATATAGATCATCAATGTCCAACAGATATAAAAATTTATGTTTCTTTGATTGATGTCCAGTATTAAAATATTGGTGCTTGTGATTGAAAGTGGACTGGAGTGTATAAAGATTATCAGTGGTCATCGAGACTTTATTTATTTTTGGTTGATGTCTGCATTTAAAACATTTTAATTAGTTTCTGAAACTAATGTGGTCGTTGGTTGGCTCTGTATAAAATGACAGACATTAAAAAGTTATTTTTGATTGATGTGCACTGTAAAAACATTTCATATGTAATTGACGAAGTCTTGTAAATAAAATATTGTATTTATTCTGAATCTATATGGCTGTCTAAACGTGGCTTAAGTCTATGCCACAAATACGTATATTCTAAAATGAATCAAAAACAAGCTCCAGCAATATATCTATGCAGATTTGTCCTCATTATATTCTGCATTCATTCATATTTATATTGGGAGTTAATGATGTTTAAATCATCAATGAGTTGCAGAGAGGGTACATTGTGATTAGAAAACAAAGCATTAATCTTAGCGTAGGCAACTGGAGGTGCATATTTCAATCCTTGCTTCATCAAAAATTAGCCCTAAACACCACCATCACTGCCCCTTTTACCTAATAAGAAAGACAAGGGGTACCAGGGGTACCTTAAACAAACAAAAGAAGGTCCCAAAAGTTCATAAGTTGGGGAAAAAAGTATCCCTGTTTCATTCAAACTGTTACCATATAATTAAATGATTTGTAAAGAGGTTTTCTAAATATTTTATGTGTATCGGCGACACTGATAGCTTCAAGTCACTAGAGTGGAGCTTCCGGAATCAACTATTGATATCTATGCAGTTCCCCTCTAGTGACGTCATTAAACGCGCTAGTTTTAGTGGAATTGCAAGAACCACAGACGTCGGAATGAAAATTGGAATGGTGCAAATTGATGCTATCAGTGTCCCTGATACACTTAAAAAGTTTAGAAAACCTTTTGACAATCCCTTGAAGATATTGTGTCCAATTTATTCAGATAAGCAAATACAAATCTGATGTTTTTTACTTCATTCTACCAATTGTCTAAATTGAAAATCTAACACCCAGTTCGTCTATACTTGAATTGTTGATGGTAGGCCGACTATATATGTTTAAAGACCGTTATCAATAAGAAGATCGCACTGAAGTAATTTTAAAATAGGTGAACTGAGTTCCAGTGTATTTATTTTTTTTTTTACCTCATTCAGATTTACCGAACTGTTAATTTAAATGTTATTGACATTGACACCTTGTTCGTGTACAATAATATAGTATAAGTAGTAAAAACGACTCTGTTTGCTGTACGTAGTTTCTGGTTCTAGTGTATTTCAGGCTCTTTAATAATGTCTATTTTAACCTCATGCCAAATTCCAATTAAAAAGAGATTTGTTATTTTTGAAGCATGATTGGTATAATGATATTCTGGACATGATTTATCACATTATGATCCAGTCATAACATTTACTCGGCTCAATAATTCACAGGGTTTATATCACGTTTCTTAATTTGGTGTTATTATTAGCTCAAATAACATAACAGAATACTAGTCCGAAACTTTGATCTAAACTATCCTCTGTTATAATGCGTGGAGGAATGTAAGGCGCGAAATGTGATTTGTGTCTGATAGCTATTGCAGTTTTTTGTGGTCGGAATGTAACGTCAGCTAAGTGTCGGATATATAAATACAAGTACTGTTATACAGTCTTCCTAGGTTCATAGCTTCGAGAAATATAAACTTATTTCTCTTTCTCAAATCATCCTAAATAGAGATATAAAATTCTTAAAAATTTTCTGAAGCTAATCTGGCTTACCCATGCCAGTACAAAAAGGGTAAGGATATAGTCGAAAAGCTGTAACTCCGTCAAAAGTAATGAGGGGCCACGCATTTAGTCAGAAAGTTTCAGATTGGTTACCTTCGTCAACAATAACGAAGAGAGATAATGGTCGTGTTCGGGCTTTGAGAAAGTCATCAAGCCTGGGCAGGTTAGTTATTACCATAATTCGGCAATTCCGTTATTTTATTCTAACTATCACTGGCAACAAGAGGAAAGATATAGCAAGTTTCGGACCAATATAAAGTACATGAAATGTTCCAAATATAGCATCAGATCAATTGGTATTTTATGAGCGTGGAGTAGACTGTGGTCCTACCAGCGTGAAATTGTACAGACAGATTACTATAGTTAGCTAATAAAATATATTGTCAATACGACTTAATGGTTTGTCTTGATAATCACGTGTCGTATACATATCAATGGGATACATTGATGGGAATTAAGATGAAATTAAACGAAGTTTTACGCCCTCTTTTACTATGCGAGCTGATGAATTGAATGAGGCAATACACTCTTATTGCATATATCCTATATGGCTAATTGGAGAATCAGTTTTATTCACTTACCTAATCTACGAGAGCAATTTTTCTAGTATGCACCGTTGTATCATAATATAACAGACGAATTAAGTCTCAATGCCGGTTCTACTAGGGTTGGTGGGAGGGGGGGGGACATGGCTTAGGTAGGGCTAAGGTGTTTCGACCAGGACAAGAAAACTATCCTACATAGCGATTAAAGAAATTGGTTAATCAAAGAACCACTTTCAAACTAAGTAATTTCTTTAACAACAAGATAGAACACCGGGATAATACAAAATTAACAATGACAAAAATTTACAAATAATATAAACAACCAAACTCGTCATCCCTTTTGGGGAGTTCACATGGCTAAAATAATGTTCACTTGGTAAACCAGGGTTAGGTATTACATAAAATAATATTTTTAACTTTGTCGACACTTCTTGCACTGACTTATCTGGTGAAATGCCATTAGGTTTTGGCCACGGACCTGCAAATTTCGAAAGGGAACCACCTTAAATGTTCCACTTTCCCTCAGAACTAGTCTATAAGGCATTTTAAAAAAGCGTGCCAAAGTTTATAACGATATTCGATATATTTGTGCGATCTAAACATAAACTCGACTAGTCCACTTAATGTTAAGGTAGTTCAAGTAGTAATGAACGCAATATAAGTTTTGTATATAGAGTTTCGGTTACTTCTGAAATTTATTCTTCAAACATCTTAAATATCTGTTGTAAGGAAATTGTATTCGAAGCTAGAAGATCAACATCTTGTTGTAACACGGTATAACTGTCTGTAATTGTACAGAGATACACTCTATGAAGGTTACGTTACCAAATGCGCGTGTGTATGGTTTGTTATACATTGTCACAGGAACCATAAGCACAATTATGATCACAAACAGTTCTGTTTAATTCTATATCACAATTTCTACTACTAGTATTATAATGAGTAGATCTCGTCTGCGATGAGTTTTGACGCAGAAAATACATTCTTCTTGAATACGCCTTTCCTCGAATGCACGTGCATATCGCGTGCAGAAATGTCTGACGAAAACTTTTCGACATAAATCCATAAATGATGGGATTAACACAACTGTTGAGATATGAGAGTAAATAAAAAGAAAATCTCATTGGTTTTAGGTAACCATAGTTTAAATGATGAAGTATATTAAAGGCTGTAAGAAGGTTAGTGGTTAATATCGGCGCCCAGCAGATTATAAAGATGATTATTACTGAAACTAACATCTTAATCACCTGAAATATACAGTATTCAAATCAAATTAATTAAAACTATATTATTGTCCTGTTATTTGAAGTTTCGGCTTACTGCCTTCTTCAGAAACACCCAAAATAGATCTCGATCACATCTTATTCCGTTATTGTCTGGAAGAAACTGTATAATAGACAAACCTAGAGTAGTGTAAGCAGTTCCCGTTCTAAGGAACAGCATCTCTGCCTCACTCGCCGATCTATGTACGGAATTATAAAGCATTTAAATACATCGACATTTATTTTCTGAAGTAAAAGTGAACCATTTTACGGAGTCTTTCTTTAGCCTTGCTAAACAATGTCAGGTCTTCCTTTTCGTCGATAAATATGTTTTGTGGCTCGGACTGTGACTGGAAAGATCTAGCGATATAATGGTGTAGCGCTATGAAAGTAAAACGTTAAAGATGTAAACCCACAACTTTCGCCAAATGATTCTTATCCCAACGCATTTGTTTTTATAGAGAAAGGAATACATAATGGAAAATAGTCTAGAGAATGAAGAAATGTACCTGTTTTCTGGTTTGGTCGTCCTCTGATGAAATCTTAAATATGCCACTTGATTTGATCACCGGACTTTTATCTGATCCAATATGAAATGGACTGGATTTAGTGGAAGCCATAAGATATTGCCTGTAATAGATGTATTAGTGCGTTTTGTAATGGAATGGCTTTAAAGATTTAAACGTGCTTCCAGGCATAAAATGATTCATATTCCAATTGTCAATAAAATAAGAGGAATACATGCAGCTTAAATTTGAAAAAATGTGAATCTGATAATGACAACTGTATTTTTTTATAATGCTGTAATTTTGATAAACGATAAAATATCAAATTAAATCGAACGAAAAAGTGAAAGATATAAATTTTTATGATTGCATAGAATTTTTGATCCCTTAATAATATCATTAAACATTTATATTATAGAAGATGAGTGTTACAGTTATCAAGAATAAAACCTAAAAGCATTTTGTCACTTATGACGTCATCAGTAAAAGACAATTGTGTTAAATTGAATAAATTCAGAAATCCTTTAAGTCTCCCAATTTAAATGGTTTGTAACAAGCCAATATATTTTTTATTTAACAGTCACTTATTTAATTAGCTTATCGATTTACTGTCCTCGCTATACCGTTATCTTTCAAATCACTACTGTTTTTTCAACAATTCTTTTTATAACATAGTTAAAACTTTCTAACATGTTTTTCGTACAAAGATAAAGACAATATTTGAGATCAAAGATTCAACTTAAATAATGTAGAATTATGCAATTGAAAGATAAAACCATGGTTTGATTCTATCGGCAAGATTCTAAATTAAATTTTGATTTTTTAATGCATGATTTGTACTGCTTACAGATTAACGATAAAATATCATCACATTACTGTGAAGTAATGGTTCAACTTGAATATTGTCAAATTATGCAATTGAATGATATATAACCATGATTTCAATCTTTCAGTGAATTTCCTAATTAAATTGTGAATTTTTTATCTCGTCAACAATAGTTCTTATGCTTTGTATCGCTTGACCAAAATAAACATTAGATCTTATTATGATTAATGAGAGAATACCATCAAATAACTCTACAGCACCTTGTGATATTATGCATTGAGTTCGAAAAACGGTACACTCTAATAATGACACAAAGATTTATTGTAGATCTTAGAACTGGATATTGGCAATCAGAATATTTGTTTTAATGGGTCAAGCATGTTACTGTGGAGCAATAATATCGAAATGAATTTCATCTTCCCCTTGGCACTTTTAGACAGTCATCATCTCTGGACAAAAAAAACTTGTATGTAGGTTAGTATGACATCCTACACATCATCTATGGCAGGTGAATTCTATATCGAATTTTAATTTAGAAAAGTGGCATTTAGTTCTATTCAGCTGCTAATAATTATCCTCTTTTGTAATGTAGTCTTTTTTATGGTATTTAGATGTATTTTCAAAATAAGTACATGTATACCAACCAAACTATTTGGATTAAAGGGACGCAGGGTAGACAAACCAAATCATAGGTGACATCAGGTGTTCCTGAATACCGAAATTACTATTACTGTACTATTACCATAGTGGAGATTAAATTTCAAACGTTTTTGGACTTAAGTTTGGACAGAGAGTTAAAAGAATGAGAGAGAGTTAGTCTACTGGTGTTAAAAATATTAACATTCTGGACAGTTCAGGACAGTACAATTCATAGGCTATTTTGTTTCTTCGATGTGAACTAGGTTTGCAGATTGTTTGATATTTAAAGGGACTGATGCGCCATTTTTTTTACTAATCATACTTTAGTCTCAGAAACGGGAATTTTTTTAGCAAAGCCAATCAGTTATAGTGTTCACAACTCACCGTCGAAATTTGAGCCTTCAAATCCACGTTACTGTTAAAATGACGACTCGTCAATTTAAGATATTCTATGATATATACAAAAAACATTATACGAAAAGTGAGTTAAATTCTTCAGTACTTCTGAAGACTTCTGAAGATTAAAATCAACCTCCCAAAATGGCAACTGTCCATTTAATTTCAATATGGTACTTTCTTCAAAGGCTTGCTAGTAGGTTATAATTGGTGATCGTTGGTCTATTTCAAAGTTTCAATGTGAATATTTTAATAATTTTAAGAGGATTCCATATTGTCATAGGTATGACCTGGAACTCAACGTCCTCATTAAACTCAGATAATATGGAAATTATGAAAGTCTAAAACCATAATCATGTAAAGTCTTTAATAAGATTTGATGAAGCTAGTATTAATTGTCAATAATTTCTATTCGTGGCGGGAAATCTGTCTAATATATTATGTAATAGCCGCGTGTTTTATAATCCAGCAGACGTCGAACCTGTCTTATTAAAATTGATTTGTAAATTTTCAATTTTCAGCTCACGATATTCTACTCCATCATCTTCTTCGAGCCAATAAACAAATCTTCTTTTGAACCCAATTTATCCATGTCGAACAAAAATTATTCAGAATTTAGATTTACTAGGATTATTTTCAAATATTTTATACCCGTCATACACTTCAATATCTAAAAATCAATATTGGAACGCAGTCTTTGATGTACCCTAATCCGAAAAACTCTAATTCTTTATACAAGCTCCAAAAAATAAGGGTAGTTTAAAAAATTGTCTGACTTAATGAACTCTTGATTTAACTGATGGTAACCGATTATTATGTCTAGGATAGTAAAATATATACCAGATGTTTGTTATGGCCAATAATGGGATGTAATGAACTAAAAAGGTTAAATGACAATGGATTGTGCTGTGAGTGATGACAAAAATCCATCAAAAAGCTAATACAATTATCATGCTTATTTACGCCACCAATAGTTCTACTGTAATACTTTTTTGATCATTGCAAAAATTCAATAATCTATTCACTTTTGGTTTGACATCCCAAAATCATTGCTAAAAACTTATATTAATACGCTACGAAATGAATAATAAATTGTCAAAATTTGAAAAAAAAAGTGTGGGAACGACGTACCTGCCATTTTTCATGATAACTCTTTGATTGGAGACGTGCCATAGTTCTAAACTAATATTACAATAGGCAAACATCATAATAGAGACTGGTATAACTAACATCATACAGAACATATAAACTTCATATACTCTACTAAATAGTAAATCTTCCCAGTCTTTAATACACCAATACCCCTTTCTTACCACTCCAACTTCTTTATGATTCTGAAACAAACAGATACAACTCAACATTGAGCTCTTTGTGTGTAATTCTGGCATCACTATCCTACGGAGCCCCTAAGGCGCAATTGTAAACATATTTATTTATTATTTCGTTTAAACGAAATAATTAATTCGTTTAAACGAAATAACATCATTAGTTAACTATTTTAAATTGGATAGTACGGAGCCCCTTAAGCGCAATTTTCAACACTTTTTATTATTATTTCGTTTAAACGAAATCATTATTTCGTTTAAACGAATTATTTATTTCGTTTAAACGAAATTGCAGAAACATGAGGCGTATGACTCTTGCTTATATTTTAGGGAGGGTGGTCTATAGTCCTTTTAATGGATTTCTCAATTGAGATATGGTGGGTATTTTCTTAATCATCATGTTCATTTTATGATTGATAGTAAAGCAAGTATTTTGTATCTTACAAATCTTTCATCAACTGTCTCAAAACCAATTCATGAAAACGGAAATCAGAAAGACGAAAAGAAGGTAAACACTGATATTTATATCAGCATTTTATATCCTTCAGCAAATGAACAGCTGATTTCCTGCTCTAGTCGTAGTATTTACGCCTGTAGTCAACTTTTTAGAGGTCAATCCCACATCACGACCTTTAAACCAGTAATCTATATTGCCTAACATTTTGAACAAATGTCAACAGATGGTATTTCGTAGCACAGGTGCAATGTGGCATACATAGCAAGATTTAATTAGTACAAATCCAATGTAGTTTATCAAAGGAGAAAGGAGAAAAGTGCAAAAGTTTCAGCGTATCTGAAACTTCGGAAATCTGAAGTTTCGGAAAATCTCAGAGAGATCCAGGGCTTCCCCGATTTCAAAAATTCTTAAACAAATATTTATTCAATTTTATTTAAGTATCTTCGAATTCATTAAGAATTATACCAGCTTAAATTCGATGAGAAAATGGAGTAAAGTAGAATGGGTGGCAAAGACAATTCATTGGTCCATGGAGTTGCTCAATCCTCTCCTGAATTCTAGTCACTTACCTGTAGAAAGGCAATAGGTAAAGCTAAAATAATCGACAGTAGCCAAATCATAACGATAGCTCTTTTAGCTTTTCGCACACTGCATACATACTTAGCTTTCAATGGATGTAGTATGGCATAGTATCTGGAAAAAATCAAACAGTTGTCAAAGCTATAATTTAGGGAATGGAATATCATGCTTCGTGTATATATTGGTGCAACCGCTGAGATAAGTTTGGATTAAGTACATTTTTTTTCTTTATTTTTGTTTTGAAAGATTAAGCATCTATAAAAAAGACAAAGTTTATTTTTATTTAGAAGATGAATGTCTCATGTGCTACAAGAATTATATGTTCAAGATCCCTTGACATTAGGAAATCGAAAAAGAATACGTTCATCATGCAGAATTCCAACTATACACACTACATTGTTATCCGTCTTCATTAGCCCCAACTGGAGCAAATCATTATTTCATTCCATTGTTTTTCACCTGCATGCGACACAAAGACAAACTTCTGAGGGTTCATGAAATGTAGGATATAAACCGATCAAAAATATGACACAAGTTTGAAGTGCATTTCTTTAGAATTTGAGTGCAATTTTAAGATAGATTAACACGAGATTAAAAAAAGACTACAAAAACTTCCTTCCTGTGAAAGAGAAAATAAGAAAAAATAATTAAACCCCAAAAGTTTCCTTAATCTTATAAAAGCAGCAAAAGGATTTTACATATTAATTGATTATATTTCATAATAACAAAATGAACACGTAATGCCAGCTATATTGTAATGAGATTGGAAGGAAACTGGAGAAGATTGTAGAGTTAATCTCTTAATAGAGTAAGGGATTAAACTGGCATGTTAAACTAATATTAACTTATATATGGCCATTCTGATATTTCTTATGCTTCCTTTTATGAAAAAACTCCATCTAAAAGGCAAATAAATTCTACTTTTATACTGGAAACATGAAAGATGCATGTAATTGTACTTTTGAAAAATTTGTGACAATTCTTTTCTTTCTTTTATTTAAAAATGTTCATCAAAAAGGCAAATAAATTGTAGTTTTCAGGAAATATTAAAACTGTACTTTTGTAATACAATGTATATGATTTCTAAACTTGTGACATTTGTATCCTTCCCTATATTAAAAATGTCCATCTAAAAGACAATTAATAATAAATATACGAAATATTAATGACCAACCAAAACACGATGGTATTTTCGCATTGTGATTCCTTTATAGCCTACTATTTTTTAAAAGGCTAAACCGATCTTCAATAAGACTAACAAACTGACAAGTTTAGATATATCACCAGGTGCAACATGAGTGGAAGTTGATGAATCTTAATATAAATGACGATGGACATTTCTCGAAAGCTAAGAACAATGAACGACTACGACTACAATATTATAAGGCCTAATTTTGTTTTCCACATTAATTCATTATATGTTTGTTGTTATAACTTTTTCAAAATAGTTAAATTTTCAGACTTCTTTGTCCATTAACCTTATCAAATATTATCCAACCTTCATTATCACCATGATATACAAATTTGAAAAAATACCAGACAAATTAGTGTATACTTCCGCTGTTACATTTACCTACCTTTCTAAACTCATAACTGTCAGAGTTAAAACAGAGCAGATTGATGATAGATTCTGTACATACACCAGTGATTTACACAGCAATTCACCAAATATCCACGTAAAGGTGAAAAACGCTGCAAACTGAAAATAAGATACATTAGAATTCATTTACTTTATTGGCATCCGGAAATTCTCGACAGTTTCCATAAAACTTAATCAGTCGCAGGGCGCTAGGATATCTTTCATGTTTGGCCTTTTTCTGCATAGCATTACTAGAACTCTCTTGGTTGAGCGTTTGGCCGCTGTACTGTTTTTGCGTGAAGATAGACATGAATTTTATTATCAACAAGGTCGATATATACATTTTCATCATGTCCAAACCCCACCCCCATTCGTCATGTAAGACCATGTCAGAACTACATGGTATACGGTATATAAGTATATTACTATTAGTAAGGAGTAAGCTGTCACAGTAAGGAGTAGTATACCATAAATTTGTGTTCTGTTATTTAATATGATCTCTACCCCTAAATGTCGCTAAAGGATTATTAATATTAGTGACTTAAATAGTAAAATAAAAGATCAATAAACTCTGATGGTTAAAAGCGTGTGTAGAATTTTTCACCAAAAGGGCAACATTGCCAGAACTGACTAGCGGGCTAAAACCAATAATAGTTAATGCTCTGAAATCTTAAATAGTTTATTCAGTTTGTTTTGAGATCTTGCAACATCGGCTGACTATTAATTTATCATATAATTATCAAGTAATCATCATGGCGTGTGTCGCTATAGCAAAGTCGGGCAAATATGTGATTACACTTTCCACTGATCCGAGCAACGATTGAATTTGTAGTATATACGTTTGTTGTTTGCGTATCATATCACATGATGGTATTTTCATTATGACAAAGTTTTAAACACAAATAAACTAAAAGTACAGATGAAAAGGACAAGAACAACATTAAAGTTGATCATAATCTATCCTCATCCCGTGCGATTTCCGTTTATCAACCTACAATAACAGAGAAATACGTAGCCTTCGGCATTACACTTCCGAGACAACAAATCAACAAGTTAAGCTCTAGATCTGTGCCCACACAGACGCCACAGTATTCCTGTTGTCTAGCCATTCCTCCATTACCTGTTTCCCTCTTTCCATTCCATTGGGCCCTTGATAATAATTAAACAGATTTGATTCTGACATACGATTGCGCAAGATTTCAAGATCATGTTAACACTTCTTAGTCAGTTTGGAAAAAGGTCACAAAATAACGTCCATTTTTGTATCTTTCTAAATGTATCATGTAGTCGTATTTTATATCTTTTAAAGGGATAGATGCGCCATTTTGGGGGGTTGATTTGAGTCTTTAATATAAGTATATAGGCTTCACAGGTACGGGAAATGTCGCATAATTACTTCAAAAATATCTCAAACTTGGAATTTCTTTTCCTGTTTCTATAGATGTCTTTTCTATATATTGCAGTGTCTCGAGAAAAGATGACCTGACTTTCAAATTTCAAACGCGGATAATTCTGGACACACATGGTTTTGAAGACTAAAATTTCGACTGGGAACACTGATTGGCTTAGCTTAAAAAAAAATCCCCTGAGACTAAGATACGATTGGTCAAAAAATGGCATCTGTAAACACCACTTATAATGAGACTATGTCACAAAACTACCATCATGAAGTGAATTTCCACTAAACGAAGATGGTAAAAATCGAGAATATATACATCATTTAAATCTACATGCATGGTGACAGGTTTGATAGGGTTATATCTTGGGAACTATTTGAGATAAAAATTTGATTTTGATTTTAATTTTGATTAGAGCGAAACATCACAAACTTAAACATTCAGTGACAGAAGCAGAATTGATCCAAACTAGTTCAAATACGTTTTCCTTTTTGTTCCTATTACATGGCAATAACAAACACGAACGTTATCCACAGCCATTAAGTCGATTTTTTGAAAAACATATAACATTAGAAATACGCCTTCATATCACATTTAAAAGCTTAGAAATAACTTAAAATGAGATTTAAAGGATTTGTTGAAAATAATCGTATTTTTTAAAAATTCGATTTATAAAGTCGAGGAATGGCTATGAACTACGTTCGTGTGTTATTTTCATTTAAGAATCATGAGTAATTTCGCATGATAGATCTTTCTTCATTGAACATGTGGGACATTACAACATGGCCCAGCAAGCTTAACATAAATCAACTGTTTTTCATTCTCAAAAGTACCATTTCAATACAATCAATACTAAGGGAAAGTCAACCAATCCCAAAGTGTCCAACCCTGAGTACGTTTAACAAATTATCAGTTTTCCCAGATGATTGAGTCACTTGCAAAAAATAAGCAGTTTTCTCTAGACACTTGAATAGAATTTCCATTAATTACCTTACAGTATATTATAATGAAATTATCTTAATATAATGAATATGAGCACTCAAGCGAAAGTCCTTTGTGACAACATGTCAGGTTTTAGAAGACATGTTTTATTAAAAAGAGCTATAAATTGTCAAAACAATACGTTTGGGAAAGTAAAACCATAATTTGCGTACAGTAAATGGGTGTATCATTTTATGTTTCATTTTCAAAATTGTTTTCAACAACTTCGATAGAGCGCAGGCGTAAACAGTCACTCAACATCAAACAAACTGGCTGGTAATGAAATCAGAGTGATAATTTCGTACTTCGTTAAAAACAAATTCTCGGGGAAGATATATAGTCAGCAAGACCTTAGTCAATGGTAACTATTATATATGCCTAAGATACGATATAAAGTCAAAAATCTCCGCGCTCCATCAATAAGAACCATCACAGGACAGATATTACCTTCAACAAGACCTCTGTCAACGATAACTATCAGGCGACTGGCGACTGTCAATAATAACTATCAGAGGCTGGAAAGAGTTTCTGTCAATAGTAGCTACCAGAGGCCATATATAGGGTTAGACTGACCACCGTCAATAATAACTATCAGAGGCCAGATATAGGGTTAGATTGACCACCGTCAAAAATAACTATCAGAGACCAGATATAGGGTTAGACTGACCACCGTCAATAATAACTATCAGAGACCAGATATAGGGTTAGACTGACCACCGTCAATAATAACTATCAAAGGCCAGATATAGGGTTAAGACTGGCGACTGTCAATAATAACTATCAGAGGCCAGATATAGGGTTAGACTGACGACCGTCAATAATAACTATCAGAGGCCAGATATAGGGTTAGACTGACCACCGTCAATAATAACTATCAGAGGCCAGATATAGGGTTAGACTGACCACCGTCAATAATAACTATCAGAGGCCAGATATAGGATTAGACTGACCACCGTCAATAATAACTATCAGAGGCCAGATATAGGAATTTTAGGTTGTAACATTGCGGTTAAGCAATGTTACTTCTTAGGTAAGAGGTTATGCCGTTATACCTGGCACCAGATATAGGGTAAGACTGACCACCGCCAATAATAACTATCAGAGGTCAGATATAGGATTAGACTGACCACCGTCAATAATAACTATCAGAGACCAGATATAGGGTTAGACTGACCACCGTCAATAATAACTATCAGAGACCAGATATAGGGTTAGACTGACCACCGTCAATAATAACTATCAAAGGCCAGATATAGGGTTAAGACTGGCGACTGTCAATAATAACTATCAGAAACCAGATATAGGGTTAGACAGCCACCGTCAATAATAACTATCAGAGGCCAGGTATAGAGTTAAGACTGGCGACTCTCAATAATGACTATCAGAGGCCAGATATAGGGTTTGACTGACGACCGTCAATAATAACTATCAAAGACCAGATATAGGGTTAGACTGACGACCGTCAATAATAACTATCAGAGGCCAGATATAGGGTTAAGACTGGCCACCGTCAATAATAACTATCAGAGGCCAGGTATAGAGTTAAGACTGGCGACTCTCAATAATAACTATCAGAGGCCAGATATAGGGTTAGACTGACGACTGTCAATAATGACTATCAAAGACCAGATATAGGGTTAGACTGACCACCGTCAATAATAACTATCAGAGACCAGATATAGAAATTTTAGGTTGTAACATTGCGGTTAAGCAATGTTAAGAAAGCACGGGCACAGGCATGTAGGCGGTTAGACTGACCACTGTCAATAATAACTACCAGAGACAAGATATAGAGTTAAGACTGGTGACAGTCAATAATAACTATTAGAGACAAGATATAGAGTTTAGACTGACCACCGTCAATAATAACTATCAAAGGCCAGATATAGGGTTAAGACTGGCGACTGTCAATTATAACTATCAGAGACCAGATATAGGGTTAGATTGACCACCGTCAATAATAACTATCAGAGGCCAGATATAGGATTAGACTGACCACCGTCAATAATAACTATCAGAGACCAGATATAGGATTAGACTGACTACCGTCAATAATAACTATCAGAGACCAGATATAGGGTTAGACTGACCACCGTCAATAATAACTATCAGAGACCAGATATAGGGTTAGGCTGCCCACAGTCAATAATAACTATCAGAGACCAGAGACCAGATAAAGGGTAAGACTGACCACCGTCAATAATAACTATCAGAGGCAAGATATAGGGTTAGACTGACGACCGTCAATAATAACTATCAGAGGCCAGATATAGGGTTAGACTGACCACCGTCAATAATAACTATCAGAGGCCAGATATAGGAATTTTAGGTTGTAACATTGCAGTTAAGCAATGTTACTTCTTAGGTAAGAGGTTATGCCGTTATACCTGGCACCAGATATAGGGTAAGACTGACCACCGTCAATAATAACTATCAGAGACCAGATATAGGGTTAGACTGACCACCGTCAATAATAACTATCAGAGACCAGATATAGGGTTAGACTGACCACCGTCAATAATAACTATCAGAGACCAGATATAGGGTTAAGACTGGCGACTGTCAATTATAACTATCAGAGACCAGATATAGGGTTAGATTGACCACCGTCAATAATAACTATCAGAGACCAGATATAGGATTAGACTGACCACCGTCAATAATAACTATCAGAGGCCAGATATAGGGTTAGACTGACCACCGTCAATAATAACTATCAGAGGCCAGATATAGGGTTTGACTGACGACCGTGAATAATAACTATCAGAGGCCAGATATAGGGTTAGACTGACCACCGTCAATAATAACTACCAAAGGCCAGATACAGGGTTAGACTGACGACAGTCAATAATAACTATCAGAGACC